ATACTTATACTTATAAACTTGGGTGTACAGAGGTATCTGTATCGTATATATGAGCTGTTACAGCGGAGGGAAAGAAGAGCGAAAATGAGAGAGGGGGCGAGAGATAGCGCGAGCGAGAAACGTGGAGTAGGGATGAGACGCACACGGCGATCGAGGGGAAAAGGGGCCCTATAACCCGGTCGGTGTGTGGAAAAGGGATGGGAGAAGCCAAGTCTGATATGTATGCCATGGTGTGTGTAGACACGTATGTATATATACATTATCACGGAGAAGTGTCCGTCGTTTCGTCTATATATATCATATACAGCCTCCGGTGTGTATAAAGACTATACCTACTCTGTTCTTCTTCTTCTTGGCTTCGATATATCTGGGGCCCGCGGCGCAACCGGGGAAAGAGATAAAGGAGCAAGTAGCAGTGGTTAGTATAGTAGGTAGCAGTACGATGTATAGGAAAGAAAAAACGCCTACACTGGGCATCAGAGAAAAGAGAGAGGAGATGATAGCATTGGCATCAAGTAGTTTTAGTGTGTAGGTATATAATACTTGCTCCTGCCGATCGAAAGTTGTACCTATAATATGTAATTAATGGGCGAGGGGCTCGGGGGAGGAGGCGCGCACGGTAGTGCCTATATACATATATATTTATACATACGTAATGCAAGAGATATTAAGCGTGTACAAGTGCTCTCTTTCTCTCTCTTTTAACTATATGTATACACATTATACATACTCTTTGAACGAGCGCGCCGTCGCTGCTGTGGACAAGAGGGGCAAGAAAGGAAAGAGAGAGATTGGCGATTAGAGAAAGGAGGCGGGAGAGAGCTGAAAAAAACTTTAAACACAATCATGAAACGAGAGATAATTGCAAGCTGATTGTTGCGTTAAACGTGTATAAGGCCTATGTTTAAGGTTTCTTTGCGTAGTGCGGTGTAATATAAAGGTATATCACACATAGTAAGGAGCTAGATATCTCTACCTCTCTTTTTTTATTTATTTATTTATTTTTTTCCACGTGTAGGTATAAAGGTATTGTTGTTGTACCTGTTAAATATTTTTATGCATTGTATATTTTATGCACCTGTATACTTGCAGGTTGTATCGAAAAAAAAACGAACAACGAGTGATCGGCCAATTGGTCAAGGGATGAACCTATTACGGTGCGTCCCAGGTATATACGTATAGGGTGTAAAGTGTACATACATATAGTTTTCAATCGATGTATTTTGCGCGATGGCACTTTACATCGAGTGTACGTATAGCTGAGAGGCTTTTTTTAAGGGATATAACAACTGTAGATCTCAACATGCCTATGGAAAACGACCCTAGGTTAATTAATCATTCAGAGAATAATTTTAAAAGTACGAGCTTGTCACTCTTACTCCCAACACTATCTGAATAATTATTTACTTGAAATATCCGTAGTATTGCGCACTATAGGCTATCGCGATGTAAAAAAAAAAAAAAATGGCTTGTGATTCCTTTCGGGGATTGTGTAATCGGTTAGTGTCACACCTGTCTAGGAGCCTCTACTTAGTAGTTTTGCCATTTGGAGAGAGCATGGTGTTTGCCTTGCACTCTGCTTGTTGGCTACGATTCTTAAGCTCGGCCAGCCTACGTACTTGGAGAGCATGATTACCCGAGGAGTGTAGTTGACCGATGCTAGTTGACTTACGGCTTAAAAAGGTGAGTCTAAGAAAAAAATTGAAAAAAAAAAAAACAATTTTGTGAGAAAAACTTGTAGAATACGTTTATAAGGTTGTATGACGACTCGTTTTAAAATTTTTGAGCAATTGCCAAAGTTGTGTTATTTGACATATGGTTTATGGGTAAAACGAGAAATTTCTTTGCAAATCTTTTGTATCGTGTGTTAAAACATTACGAGTGTTAAAAAAACATTGTGAAATGATACTTATTCAATAAAAAATCTAGCAAGATCAAACAAGTGGATGAATGTATGCTGAACAATCCTACATCTTGCGTGCGAGGTACCATGAATCTACGAAATTTCAGATGTATAAAAAGTGCAATTTAATTTATACGATTTTATTTTTAAGCTATTCTAATAAACGTATTTTACAAAGACTTTGACAACTAAAATTTTCAAATTTAATATTACATTAAAAACTCGGGATTGTCCTAGTCTTCGTAAAATGTATCGGTGAAAACAATTTTTTTGTTCAATGTGTTAGGCTGACAATACAAAGCTGTACTTTTAAAAAATTTACAGCTATTGTATCTAAAATTTTACTCGAAAATATGTTTATGAAAGTTTGATGATATAAAAAAAAGTTTTTAGCTTTTTTTATGCAATTTTCGCCGTTTAAAGTATTGAAACGACACTACGAATTTAATTTTATTGAACAAAACAGTTTAATTTAAATGACATCTGAAAATTGTATATTCAACACTTGGTTGGAGGATTTTTAATTTTTTGTGGGCAAAAAACCACTTTTATCGGTTTTTTCTCATCCATTTTACATAACACAGAGCATCTGAATTGCATGACAGAGTAAAATATGTGATTCAAAAATGTTATATATTTTTGTGATCAACAACGTTATCTTTGAACACGAACCTATAGGCTCCGGACACGTAGACGCATGCGTCAACGGCTGAAGTATAGGAGTCCACGTGGTTAGGAGAATACATGGAGTTGCATAGTTGCCTGCAGTCAATAATTTTTTTTCATCGATATTAAGATATCCTCTATTGAGCTGATGATCTCAATTATAAACCAACTTCTTAACTTTATGACAAAATTTTTTTCAGTATGAGGTTTTGCTTTAGTAAGTTGTAAATTGTTACTTGTACGCGTAAGCTGTATTGCATGTGTTATTTAAGTGTGAGAGAGAGACAGCGCCTAGTTAGTAGTACTAACACATGAAATATAGCTCACGCATACGAAAAACAAAGTGATAAATATTTTTTTTGCAACTTATCAAAGCAAAATCTCCTGCTGAAACAATAGAATCATAAGTTAAGGAGTTAAAGACTCCAATTGAGATGACCAGCCTATATGAAATGATTTTGATGTTACTAGAAAGAATGATTGACTTATGGTATCCACGCTACTCCATATTGTATTCTCGTAACCACGCGGACGTATAATTCAGCCACAAGTTGGCGCTAGTGTTTTTTGTGCACGGAGCCTATACAGTGTTGGTGACGGTTATCATCGTGAAAAAATAGAGTTTTTTTTCTTTAAGTTCTACAAAAAAAATGTTAGTATAATTTTATATACGATCAAAATTGACCGACTCGGGTCACCCTCATACTAGTTTTGAATTTATTTTGAAATATATTGAAAAAATATAGAGTTTGTAAGAGGTAACACTTTTTGCTTTGATAAAAATAGAAAACAACGTGTACATTGGCAATGCTACACTTTACCGAATATTATTAACTAAGCGAATTATATTATTCTTTTAATTGTACGAGGTGAGTACTATCTATAGCTAATAATGTACTTAGCAAAAGTGTTAATTCGTGCACGTTAAAGCTTATTTTATTTGGCTAGTCGAGTCGGTGTCATGCATATATTATATTCATATGTATGGATGGCATAGATACATACATACATATGTACATATACACTAAGTAGTAGAGGTGAAACTGAAACGTCAGCTGAGCCACTCACACTAAATGGAGAATGTATCAATTGCACCGAATCTTTTTAACGAGGCGCACATATATATGTATATTCTTTATTTGGTGTGAATGGCTCAGCCGATGTTTCAACTACTTAGTTTCTAACTGTAGTTACGTGGCCACGTATGCATAAAGTGCTCGTAATATTTTTATTATACAAATTAGACAGAGTTTTGTTGAAACTATTGTGGTGTACACAAGTTAATCTTCCATTGTAGGCTACAAACTCGTGCACGTGGTTATCTGTATAATTTAAAAGTAGAGTCAAAAGTTTCTGTTGGAGAAGAAAAATTTGAAGCTAAATGTTAACTGCGTAATCCTCAAAATTGTAAGTTTAATCAATTCACACTGTTGTTATTAGGATATATCTTCGAGTGCTAGAATTTAAATAATTCACTGCTGTTGTAGATTGGATGTAACAGTTTCAATTTTCTTAAGGAGAAATTTTAAAAATTATTGTGAAATCCACGTCAGACATTACTTAGAGGTATGGAAGCATACGTGTCATTGCTATGTACAACTTTTAAAATAGAATTGAGTTTTTTTTCGAGTGATTATTATGCATGTTATTTAAATTTAATCTTCCAAAACTAAGTTTTACTTAATCGATGATGTTTATGAATTATGGTTGTTCGTCTTATTAAACTATGTAATTTTATAATCATATAAATTCAATTTTTAACCAATAACTACTGATAAATATGTCAATTTTGCAAAGGCTATAAAAATTTTGTGATTCCTGATTCGTTTGATTTGTATTATATTTTGTTCAAAGAAATGTTAACAGTAAAATACAACGAACTCTCTAAATTTGAAATAGCGAAAACTTCACTATTTGCGAAAATGAACAATATTTTCGCTGGCGAAATAGTGAAAAATCAGGGTTGCTTATTCGTACCCAGTCGATATAAATTTTAATTCTAATTATTTATTTATAATCCAATTAGCGATCTTGATCCAAATGAAGCTAATTGTACAACTTCTACACATTATTTCAAGTGATACCAACAACAAATTAATCAACTAATTTTAATAGTGAAATGTTGGTAGAAATAGTGAATATTCACTAGTTCAAATAAGTTGTAAGTATACGACTGTTTCACTGCTAAAATAGTGTATATTCACTATTTTACAGTGTATATGCACTATTTTGAAAAAATTGTGTACTTATTACTATTTATTATTTAGAGAGAACGTTTAATCAATAATTAGTCAATATTATAAAGAACTTTAAATTCGTTTTACCGAAATATTTTTATAAATATCGCATCTTTATACAACGACATTCACATTACTATATCATTACAGTGTTTACGAAAGTCTTGGTCAACACCCACTGGCGAATTCAAAAAATGACACCAATGACACCTGCAACGAAAGATTATAAGCACGAGCGACCGTTTCAATGCGACCATTGTCGTAAGTCTTTTTCTTCCAAATATAATTTAAGAAGACACATGAACGTTCACTTCGGCGTGAATCCGTATGAATGTAAAATCTGCAATAAATCTTTTATTCGTTTAAATTGTTTAAATAAGCATAATAGAATTCATACAGGCGAAAAGCCACATAAATGTAAAATTTGCGGCAAATCTTTTACTTTTATTAGTCGGTGGCAAACACACATTCGTACTCATACAGGCGAAAAGCTATATAAATGTGAAATCTGTGACAAATCTTTTAATGGGTCAAATCATCTAAAAACCCACATGCGTATCCATACAGGAGAAAAGCCATATAAATGTGAAACCTGCGGCAAATGTTTTGTTCAATCAAATCATCTAAACGTACATGCTCGTATCCACACAGGAGAAAAGCCATATAAATGTAACATTTGCGACAAATTTTTTGGTGAATTGAGTTGTCTTAAAATACACGCTTATACCCATACAAGTGAAAAACCATATAAATGTAAAATTTGCGACAAATCTTTTGCTCAGCTTTGTCGGTTGCAACAACACACTCGTACTCATACAGGCGAAAAGCCTTATCAATGTAAAATCTGCGATAAATTTTTTAATGAATTTTCTACTCTAAAAAGGCATGTTTACTTCCATACTGGCGAGCGACCCTTTAAATGTCAAGATTGTAATAAGTCTTTTGCTCTAAAACACACTTTGAAAAAACACATTCGAACCCATACAGAGGATAAACTACGTAAATGAAACTCTGCAAATAATCTTTTGCTTAAAAATTTATCTAATAACGCATAATCATATTTATATTGATGAGTGACCCTATAATTTCCATAATTGAAGTACGTCATTTGCCTATGATAACAAATTTAAAAGTCATATATATATAACCATGATGGTGAAAAGCCAATAAACAAATACGAAACTTGTAAAAAATCTTTCAATGCATTGCCTAACCCGCGAATGCAACACATAAGTGTTAAATCTGTGACAAATTTTTATTCGAACATTTAATCTAAAATACGTTCTTTTCGTCAGCTAAAAGAACTCAGGAGTAGACAAAATACCTTAATTATGAAATGGAGCTCATAAATCATTTTTTATATAATTGATACTTGAACAACGCATTGTCATATTTCGACAAATCTTTTGCTCAGCTTTGTCGGTTGCAACTACACACTCGTACTCATACAGGCGAAAAGCTATATAAATGTAAAATCTGTGACAAATCTTTTAATATGTTAAATAATCTAAAAATCCACATGCGTATCCACACAGGAGAAAAGCCATATAAATGTGAAACCTGCGGTAAATGTTTTGTTCAATCAAATCATCTAAACATACATGCTCGTATCCACACAGGCGAAAAGCCATACAAATGTAACATGTGCGACAGATCTTATGCTGTATCAAGTTATCTGAAAAAGCATAGTCGTACCCATACAGGCGAAAAGCCATATGAATGTGAAATCTGCGATAAATTTTTTAAAGAATTTTCTACTCTAAAAAGGCATGTTAACTTCCATACTGGCGAGCGACCCTTTAAATGTCAAGATTGTAATAAGTCTTTTGCTCTAAAACACACTTTGAAAAAACACATGAAACGACACTTCGAATTTAATTTTATTGAACAAAACAGTTTAATTTAAATGACATCTGAAAATTGTATATTCAACACTTGGTTGGAGGATTTTTAATTTTTTGTGGGCAAAAAACCACTTTTTTCGGTTTTTTCTCATCCATTCTACATAACACAAAGCATCTGAATTGCATGACAGAGTAAAATATGTGATTCAAAAATGTTATATATTTTTGTGATCAACAACGTTATCTTTGAACACGAACCTATAGGCTCCGGNGAAACGTCAGCTGAGCCACTCACACTAAATGGAGAATGTATCAATTGCACCGAATCTTTTTAACGAGGCGCACATATATATGTATATTCTTTATTTGGTGTGAATGGCTCAGCCGATGTTTCAACTACTTAGTTTCTAACTGTAGTTACGTGGCCACGTATGCATAAAGTGCTCGTAATATTTTTATTATACAAATTAGACAGAGTTTTGTTGAAACTATTGTGGTGTACACAAGTTAATCTTCCATTGTAGGCTACAAACTCGTGCACGTGGTTATCTGTATAATTTAAAAGTAGAGTCAAAAGTTTCTGTTGGAGAAGAAAAATTTGAAGCTAAATGTTAACTGCGTAATCCTCAAAATTGTAAGTTTAATCAATTCACACTGTTGTTATTAGGATATATCTTCGAGTGCTAGAATTTAAATAATTCACTGCTGTTGTAGATTGGATGTAACAGTTTCAATTTTCTTAAGGAGAAATTTTAAAAATTATTGTGAAATCCACGTCAGACATTACTTAGAGGTATGGAAGCATACGTGTCATTGCTATGTACAACTTTTAAAATAGAATTGAGTTTTTTTTCGAGTGATTATTATGCATGTTATTTAAATTTAATCTTCCAAAACTAAGTTTTACTTAATCGATGATGTTTATGAATTATGGTTGTTTGTCTTATTAAACTATGTAATTTTATAATCATATAAATTCAATTTTTAACCAATAACTACTGATAAATATGTCAATTTTGCAAAGGCTATAAAAATTTTGTGATTCCTGATTCGTTTGATTTGTATTATATTTTGTTCAAAGAAATGTTAACAGTAAAATACAACGAACTCTCTAAATTTGAAATAGCGAAAACTTCACTATTTGCGAAAATGAACAATATTTTCGCTGGCGAAATAGTGAAAAATCAGGGTTGCTTATTCGTACCCAGTCGATATAAATTTTAATTCTAATTATTTATTTATAATCCAATTAGCGATCTTGATCCAAATAAAGCTAATTGTACAACTTCCACACATTATTTCAAGTGATACCAACAACAAATTAATCAACTAATTTAAATAGTGAAATGTTAACTTGGTAGAAATAGTGAATATTCACTAGTTCAAATAAGTTGTAAGTATACGACTGTTTCACTGCTAAAATAGTGTATATTCACTATTTTACAGTGTATATGCACTATTTTGAAAAAATTGTGTACTTATTACTATTTATTATTTAGAGAGAACGTTTAATCAATAATTAGTCAATATTATAAAGAACTTTAAATTCGTTTTACCGAAATATTTTTATAAATATCGCATCTTTATACAACGACATTCACATTACTATATCATTACAGTGTTTACGAAAGTCTTGGTCAACACCCACTGGCGAATTCAAAAAATGACACCAATGACACCTGCAACGAAAGATTATAAGCACGAGCGACCGTTTCAATGCGACCATTGTCGTAAGTCTTTTTCTTCCAAATATAATTTAAGAAGACACATGAACGTTCACTTCGGCGTGAATCCGTATGAATGTAAAATCTGCAATAAATCTTTTATTCGTTTAAATTGTTTAAATAAGCATAATAGAATTCATACAGGCGAAAAGCCACATAAATGTAAAATTTGCGGCAAATCTTTTACTTTTATTAGTCGGTGGCAAACACACATTCGTACTCATACAAGCGAAAAGCTATATAAATGTGAAATCTGTGACAAATCTTTTAATGGGTCAAATCATCTAAAAACCCACATGCGTATCCATACAGGAGAAAAGCCATATAAATGTGAAACCTGCGGCAAATGTTTTGTTCAATCAAATCATCTAAACGTACATGCTCGTATCCACACAGGCGAAAAGCCATATAAATGTGAAACCTGTGGCAAATGTTTTGTTCAATCAAATCATCTAAACGTACATGCTCGTATCCACACAGGAGAAAAGCCATATAAATGTAACATTTGCGACAAATTTTTTGGTGAATTGAGTTGTCTTAAAATACACGCTTATACCCATACAAGTGAAAAACCATATAAATGTAAAATTTGCGACAAATCTTTTGCTCAGCTTTGTCGGTTGCAACAACACACTCGTACTCATACAGGCGAAAAGCCTTATCAATGTAAAATCTGCGATAAATTTTTTAATGAATTTTCTACTCTAAAAAGGCATGTTTACTTCCATACTGGCGAGCGACCCTTTAAATGTCAAGATTGTAATAAGTCTTTTGCTCTAAAACACACTTTGAAAAAACACATTCGAACCCATACAGAGGATAAACTACGTAAATGAAACTCTGCAAATAATCTTTTGCTTAAAAATTTATCTAATAACGCATAATCATATTTATATTGATGAGTGACCCTATAATTTCCATAATTGAAGTACGTCATTTGCCTATGATAACAAATTTAAAAGTCATATATATATAACCATGATGGTGAAAAGCCAATAAACAAATACGAAACTTGTAAAAAATCTTTCAATGCATTGCCTAACCCGCGAATGCAACACATAAGTGTTAAATCTGTGACAAATTTTTATTCGAACATTTAATCTAAAATACGTTCTTTTCGTCAGCTAAAAGAACTCAGGAGTAGACAAAATACCTTAATTATTAAATGGAGCTCATAAATCATTTTTTATATAATTGATACTTGAACAACGCATTGTCATATTTACGGCAACGAAAAATCTTTTTAAGTACTAGACTTGTGGTTAATCTCAACTTTAAAAAAAATCGATCTAAATATTCTAATATATACACAGGCAAAGAAACCTATCAATGTCCACAATTTAATTAAATTGTAATTTAAAAGTGGCATATGATTAAAAATAATTCATCTTATATTGATTATTACATTCGAAAATGTGGAGTACGGTTTTCAACGCAATGTTAGTTTCAGTACAATCAGCATACCACTTTAGTCAAGTTTTGATCGGAAAATTCTTATATTTTGGTCGTTTGTGTTGGATGATGACTCCACATTGTGTTACAAGTACAAGTGTATCATCTTCACCAAAGATCTACTTAAAGCGTTTGTGGCTTTAAGTAGGTTCTTTCATTCAACAATTAAGTGCTAATTAAAAAAAAAAAAACAAGACGAAAGTGATTAGAAATGTTTTCTGAGATAAACATCAGAAATGTAATGATTGTTGAGCTTTTTTGGAAATTCTTTGTAGAATTTTTCGTTAAAAAATCAGCGAGCTATGATATCTTTGTCTTTTAAGAGTGATGAATTAATATTGAAGATTATGTAAAAATGTTATCATCAAACAACAAATATATTTTTCACAACTTTTCAGAGTTATTAATTTCGACGCAGTCGGTACCCTGACACGAAAATTTCCTTTTTTCCAACCATTTTTCAAAATGTTTGTCCTTATTTTTGCAAAGGTAAAGTATTGCTTGATATTACTAAATATGTTAACATCGATACTTGAGATAGCTGCATTGGCCTCGCTGCCAATCCTTAACATTTTGTGGTAATAAAAAAAAAACACGAGGTTTTGCTACGACTTATAATACACCGTTATAACAAAATTATTTTTCTAACAAGCTTGTAGATTTTTCACGTAGTTTGCGGTAACATAAAAAAAGTCTTATATCATCGAAAAAAAAGTTTTAAATATTTAATACTAAAGCGTGTCAAACTTGAATGTATACATAGGGAAAGATAAGTATAGAAACTTCGCATCAGGACACTATATCTCACTTGCTCACACACACACACACCTAGTACTAAAAAATGCATGTATACATAAGATGAAGTACTTTTACGGAGACTTGTGTATGTAGAGGTCCTCAACTCTTTAGCAGAGATCTCAGATAGTCCAAAGAGGAAAGAAAAAAAGCGGTAACACAATCACAATCGTCTGTTACCAAATTGTCACAACATAGGGACGCGTCCACATATATAAGACGGGAGACGCAGCCATAGCAGGCTTGTCAATGTTAAATGGCCGTGCGTCGTCGCATCGCTTTATCTTAGACCCCTACCTAACCGTATACGCTTGAGCGTTCAGCAGTGATCGGATGGTCCACACCTGTCATCTCCCTCTTATCTTGGTCAATCCATTCTTTTCTTTCCTGGATGTCCTCTTCTTCACTCACTTTTTTATTCACGAGAAGTTTCTTTTTTTCGCTGTCGCCTTTTGTTTTTTTTTTTGCACCTTGTTAGTACTGGTTTTTAGAGCCATCGTTTTTGTTTTTTTCTTGTTTTTTTTTTTTTTTAATTAGTTCATCTTTTATTTCACCATCCCTTCTTTTGCCTGAAGTTTCTGTCAAAGCAGAACGTTATTCATTGTATACTTCAATATCATGTTGATATCTAAAGTGTTGGTTTAAAACATTTATTTTATTTTTTATTCAAATTGAAACATATTTTCAATCACATTTACTAATAATAATATTAACAACAGTAATCGTTACTATCTATGTACTCTAGAACTTGAATTGCAAACTTGAAACGTTTATCAAAACATCCATATTCAAATTATCATCAATACTTTTGTACTCAAAGTCTTATTCCATGAATTTTGTTTCTTTCCTTCACTGTGGAGGTGATATAATTCCAACCCTCGCTTCAAGTTTGTTACCAATCACCTATCCTTTTTATAAATACCAAAGCATTCACGAACAAAAATAATTCATTAAATTCTTCCTTTTTAAGATTNTTTACTTCCATACTGGCGAGCGACCCTTTAAATGTCAAGATTGTAATAAGTCTTTTGCTCTAAAACACACTTTGAAAAAACACATTCGAACCCATACAGAGGATAAACTACGTAAATGAAACTCTGCAAATAATCTTTTGCTTAAAAATTTATCTAATAACGCATAATCATATTTATATTGATGAGTGACCCTATAATTTCCATAATTGAAGTACGTCATTTGCCTATGATAACAAATTTAAAAGTCATATATATATAACCATGATGGTGAAAAGCCAATAAACAAATACGAAACTTGTAAAAAATCTTTCAATGCATTGCCTAACCCGCGAATGCAACACATAAGTGTTAAATCTGTGACAAATTTTTATTCGAACATTTAATCTAAAATACGTTCTTTTCGTCAGCTAAAAGAACTCAGGAGTAGACAAAATACCTTAATTATTAAATGGAGCTCATAAATCATTTTTTATATAATTGATACTTGAACAACGCATTGTCATATTTACGGCAACGAAAAATCTTTTTAAGTACTAGACTTGTGGTTAATCTCAACTTTAAAAAAAATCGATCTAAATATTCTAATATATACACAGGCAAAGAAACCTATCAATGTCCACAATTTAATTAAATTGTAATTTAAAAGTGGCATATGATTAAAAATAATTCATCTTATATTGATTATTACATTCGAAAATGTGAAGTACGGTTTTCAACGCAATGTTAGTTTCAGTACAATCAGCATACCACTGTAGTCAAGTTTTGATCGGAAAATTCTTATATTTTGGTCGTTTGTGTTGGATGATGACTCCACATTGTGTTACAAGTACAAGTGTATCATCTTCACCAAAGATCTACTTAAAGCGTTTGTGGCTTTAAGTAGGTTCTTTCATTCAACAATTAAGTGCTAATTAAAAAAAAAAAAACAAGACGAAAGTGATTAGAAATGTTTTCTGAGATAAACATCAGAAATGTAATGATTGTTGAGCTTTTTTGGAAATTCTTTGTAGAATTTTTCGTTAAAAAATCAGCGAGCTATGATATCTTTGTCTTTTAAGAGTGATGAATTAATATTGAAGATTATGTAAAAATTTTATCATCAAACAACAAATATATTTTTCACAACTTTTCAGAGTTATTAATTTCGACGCAGTCGGTACCCTGACACGAAAATTTCCTTTTTTCCATCCATTTTTCAAAATGTTTGTCCTTATTTTTGCAAAGGTAAAGTATTGCTTGGTATTACTAAATATGTTAACATCGATACTTGAGATAGCTGCATTGGCCTCGCTGCCAATCCTTAACATTTTGTGGTAATGAAAAAAAAACACGAGGTTTTGCTACGACTTATAATACACCGTTATAACAAAATTATTTTTCTAACAAGCTTGTAGATTTTTCACGTAGTTTGCGGTAACATAAAAAAAGTCTTATATCATCGAAAAAAAATGTTAGTATAATTTTATATACGATCAAAATTGACCGACTCGGGTCACCCTCATACTAGTTTTGAATTTATTATCGATACTTGAGATAGCTGCATTGGCCTCGCTGCCAATCCTTAACATTTTGTGGTAATAAAAAAAAAACACGAGGTTTTGCTACGACTTTTAATACACCGTTATAACAAAATTATTTTTCTAACAAGCTTGTAGATTTTTCACGGTAACCACGCGGACGTATAATTCAGCCACAAGTTGGCGCTAGTGTTTTTTGTGCACGGAGCCTATACAGTGTTGGTGACGTTTATCATCGTGAAAAAATAGAGTTTTTTTTCTTTAAGTTCTACAAAAAAAATGTTAGTATAATTTTATATACGATCAAAATTGACCGACTCGGGTCACCCTCATACTAGTTTTGAATTTATTTTGAAATATATTGAAAAAATATAGAGTTTGTAAGAGGTAACACTTTTTGCTTTGATAAAAATAGAAAACAACGTGTACATTGGCAATGCTACACTTTACCGAATATTATTAACTAAGCGAATTATATTATTCTTTTAATTGTACGAGGTGAGTACTATCTATAGCTAATAATGTACTCAGCAAAAGTGTTAATTCGTGCACGTTAAAGCTTATTTTATTTGGCTAGTCGAGTCGGTGTCATGCATATATTATATTCATATGTATGGATGGCATAGATACATACATACATATGTACATATACACTAAGTAGTAGAGGTGAAACTGAAACGTCAGCTGAGCCACTCACACTAAATGGAGAATGTATCAATTGCACCGAATCTTCTTAACGAGGCGCACATATATATGTATATTCTTTATTTGGTGTGAATGGCTCAGCCGATGTTTCAACTACTTAGTTTCTAACTGTAGTTACGTGGCCACGTATGCATAAAGTGCTCGTAATATTTTTATTATACAAATTAGACAGAGTTTTGTTGAAACTATTGTGGTGTACACAAGTTAATCTTCCATTGTAGGCTACAAACTCGTGCACGTGGTTATCTGTATAATTTAAAAGTAGAGTCAAAAGTTTCTGTTGGAGAAGAAAAAGTTGAAGCTAAATGTTAACTGCGTAATCCTCAAAATTGTAAGTTTAATCAATTCACACTGTTGTTATTAGGATATATCTTCGAGTGCTAGAATTTAAAT